CCCTGAGCCTTAGCTTCCTCGCAGGAAATGTGTGGATGGGGCCCCAACTCAGACAGCATCTGTAAAGCATCAGCACCGGGCCCAGTGCGTGGTGGGTGCTCAGTCATTGTCCTTTGGCAATATTTTCAAGCAATGAAAAGTGTCTGTTGGGCCATTAAAACGTTAGTTCATGGTGTGACTTGCCAGAAATGTGTTACTCGTGTGTCAGAGTGTTACTCTCACAGAACCTACTGGTGGGATGCCCTTCAGCTGGTCCTTCCTGTCTGGGACAGCTGTGTTCTGTGGGTTTGTGAATTTTCAACAGATCAAATCTAAGTTGGTTGATGGAGGGTGTGTATGCAGAAAATGCTTAGAAAATAGTCTTTAATGTTTAGATTAAAATAAGGTTTCAGAAATATAACTCTTAAATGCTTTTTTTTTAGACAGAAAATGAAGAAAACGTTCTTATTTGTCTACGAATAATTATTGAACTACACAAACAATTCAGGCCACCCATCACGCAAGAAGTAAGTGTTTATCCTGATAGCACTTTTAAAGTGTGCCAACCAGTCCCTTCTGCTCTGTGAATTATTTTACTTTGTTAGAGGTGACACAGCACATGTTGCTTTCAGTCATGGAGGATACAACCAAAGTTAGGGGAAATCCTTTATCAGTTAAACAGTGACTATTTTCCTGAAAGTGTATATGAATATTTTGCTGAATCTGTTCAGTAGTTGAAATGTGTTCACTGGCCGAAGTGGCAGGGCTGTTTGGGTGTTCTGGTGTTTAAAGTTTGAGATGCCGCAGGGCTCCATCGCTGCTACACGAGGGTCAGGAGGTGGGTTCTGACGTCCGAGCTGGGCTTGCCTCTCAGTGTGCAGTTCGGTAGCTGTGTGACACTGGGTAATCTCCGAGCCTTTTGAGGTTCTTCTGTAAAATGGCGGCAGTCACAGTATGTCCTCAGAGATTGCTTGGAGAATTAAATATAAAAGTTAAAGTTACTAGCACAGGGATTGGCATCTGAATCTTCAGAGTAAGGCAGTCTGTGTTAGCCATAATTAAGATAATGTCTTCTCTGGTGATACCCTTGGCAAATGCCTAGCGTAGATTATTGGGAATTAAAAGCCTAAAGACAAAATAGTATTCCTTCCACCCTAAAAACCGTATTTAGTGTCTTGGTGACTTCCTTTCCTTTTCCCCACCTTGTGCATATGTATGTTTTTCTACATAATCGCAGTACTGCTGTGGGTGACTTTATATCCTGATTGTTTCCCTTCACATTACACGTAAGCATTTTCCTAAAATACTTCATGAAAAGGATTTTGTATAGTTACTTTTTAATGGATATATGATATTATCTCATATTTTTGGATATTTAAGATATTCCAAAATATTTGTTTTATGACCATAACTAAATATCTGTTTACAGTTCCAATTATTTTGTAGACTGGGTTTGCAGACAGAATTACCAGATCAAAGGTGGTAATGTTTTAGTGCTTCTGGTGAATATTACCTTGGTTTCCAGAAAGGCTTCTGCAGTTTAAGCTTCCCTCAGCAAGTGGGCGGCTCCCTGTTGTGGCCCTCCCTCCAGCATGGCGTGGGCTTACTTTTTGAAAGGCAAAAAGTGGCATTCATTATAATTTTCATTCCTTTGCTCTTCCTAAATTAGAAGGCTTGTTTTCTGTTTATCAGTCTTTTGTGGGTTCTTTGGTCTGTTTGTTCACATTCATTGCTTATTTGTATCTTGAGTCTGACTTTTTTTTTACTTGTTTTATGAGTTCTTATATAGGAAGACTATTAGCATTTTTCTTATTTATTGTAAACATTTTCTGTTTATAAATATCTTACTTACACTGTCTTTTTTTAGATTCATCATTTTTTGGATTTTGTGAAACAGATTTACAAGGAGCTTCCGAAAGTAGTGGTATGCTGTTTTTAATATTATCTGGATTTATTATTTATATTTATTTCTCATCCCAAAGGGTTGAAGGAGTGACTGGAGGGATGCTAATTTTAGAATGGAGAATGTTAAGTGGTGATAAAAATATACGTTGATATATTAGCCACTTAAAAAAGGGGTTCTTTTGGTTTCACTGTTTAGATTAAATACTGTATTTTGACATAAAAGCAGTATATCCTTATTGTAGAAATTTTCAAAAAAAAAAAATCCGTAATTATTCTCTCATTTGTAAGCAGCCATCTCCATTGATGTTCTGGGCTTCATTTTGTGCTCTGTGACGATGGTGGCGCTCACAGTCTTGAAGCCTTTGGAGGCAATGATGACTACTTTCAGCATTTTTTCTGTATCATTAAAATTTTTTCCTATATTGAAAGAACCGTTTCCAAGCAGTGCTACCAATATGACAGTGTATGGAGTGGAAGCGGAAAGACCCCTGCCTGTCCTGCTCTCATGTATCGGAAGGAATCACTGTTAGAGTTTTGAACATCCTCCGAGATCCTTTTTCTGGAGGTCGTGGTTCTTAGTGACCTGTAGTTTTCTGTCATGCATGTACCTTGACCATCTCCCTGTTGCTGGTTTTCCAACCACTTTCAGTTCATTATTGTCACAAATAATGCTTTGGTAAAAATCATTGCATAAATCTGCTTATAGGTCAGAATTTCTATTTTAAAGATTTTTTAAGCTTAAATTTTTTTAAAAAACTAACATTTTTCAATGTTAAAATTGACTTTTTGGTCTTTAAGGATTTTAACCTGCTGATAGGGTATAGAACTTAAAATGCGTTCTGAATTATCGTCACTGTTGTGTCAGCTACCATTTCGATCAGTCTTAGAGCTACTTTTCATCAGAAGTCATCTTTCTTCACCTGAAGCCCAAATCCCATTGAGAACCAAGGATGACAGCAAGGTCCTGACTTTCAAAAATGTCTTCTGTACTTCACTTCTGTTTAATATTTGATCTCTATTTAGGAGACTGTTTGGAAAGTGAGTTCACTGGGGGCCAGCTCCTAGTTTCTTATGGCTGGAGGGATGGGGTGCATCCACCCCGCCTCACTCGGGTAGTAATGTTATATCACATATGTTTCATCTTTTATCAGCCAGGGAACAAAAAGGAGAAAATACTCAGGGCAACTTTGTTTTCTTTTGTTGGAGATGGAAAGTGTGTTCTCTGTCGTGTTATGTTTATGGTCCTGAAAGATGAGGACCCGAGCGCTGCGGGGTGGGTGCGCCGTGGGCTTGTAGGGCATTCATCGTCTTCCACCACGTCAGGTGTGCTTTATTGAGGGATGTTGTGTTTGAGTTTAGGAAAAATGACTTCTGTTCTTCTTGTGTAGAACCGCTACTTTGAGAACCCTCAGGTGATCCCCGAGAACACAGTCCCACCCCCGGAAATGGTCGGGATGATCACAACAATCGCTGTGAAAGTCAGTCCTGAGCGGGAGGACAGCGAGACCAGAACGGTAATCTCTTTCAGTTGTTTGCTTTGTTTTTATCCCTGTCTCCTGTTCTTGGCAGAGGAGAATGAGGTATTGACTTTTTAGACCACTTAAATTCTTTGCTTTTTCTCTTAAACACACAGAGGCATTTAAAATAAGCAAACAAATGTGTGTGGGCATGAGAGAGAGTCACTGATGGTGCTGTACAGCCTTGAGGGGTGCAGGTGAACTGTTGCTCACCATTGATGCAAAGATGCAAAGATGCAAAGATAAAATATAGTGGAATCCAGAACTGCCTGTTTGAAAGAGCAGCTGACCAGGCCAGGGGGCCTCTGTTCCGTCGTGAGCTTTGATTCGCGCAAGTCCCTTTAAGCTACATATACATTTGTCAGTCAGTGCATTGCGGCCTGGGCTCTGGGGACAGAAGCTCTGGGATGATGCTCCAGTTCCACCACTTGCGTTCGGACTGTAGGAAAGTTCATGAACCTTTGTCTGTCCTTATTTGTCCTCTTATCTGAAAAATCCATCTCCTGGAGTTTTGTGACAGTGTTGCTGGTATTGCCTGCAGCTGCTGTGTTATATTTATAGCATCTGGCGCATGGGCAACATGTACTGAGCGTTCACCATGGCTATGTTTTGTGATTGAGTCAAGACTATCATCTCTGTTTTAGTGAAATGATTTTTGTGGAATGTTTCCCTTTGTGCTGGGATAAACAGGAAACTGCATTTTGAATGAAGCTTTCATTCCTGTGCTCTTTCCGAATTAGAAGCTTGTTTTCTGTTTTTCAGTTTTTGTGTTTCTTTTTTTGCTTGTCTGTTCCTGTCCATTGCCCATTTGTATTTTGAGTCTGACATTTTCCTGACCTGTTTGAGTTTTTATACATTGAGACTCTTAAACTTTTTTATTTATTGTAAGCATTTTTCCTGTTTATAAATATCTTTGGATAAAACTCGGTAAACTTGTACTTTTTGCTGTTGTTCTTTTAAGTAAGCAAAAGAAAAGATTTAAATTAAAAAAAACATTTCTTAGATGATTTGAATCTCTCAGTTTTGACAAATTTTCCTGAGGTTTTTTACTACAGGTGACTACATTGTGAAGTATAAAAGCCTTTAATATAAATAATAGTTCTATATACTTTGTTTTCAGAGTAATTTCGTTCTTTCACAGATAACAGCAAAGATGTGTCAGTGTTTCCGCTTCCCTTTATTTCGATGGGGCGGTGCTCAGTAGCGGGACGCTGATTGGGGCTGTTCTCAGTGCCACGGTGATAACCACAGTCTTGGTCTCTCTCTTACAGCATTCCATCATTCCAAGAGGATCTCTGTCTTTGAAAGTCTTGGCAGAATTGCCCATTATTGTTCGTTTTAATGTATCAGGTATGCGTATTGCTTAGTAGTTTCTTGAGTTTGGGGCTTCTGGTTTTATGACAAAGTTTATGTCTAATTTTCCATGTCAAATAGATGTGTATGCTATGCATGTGCTAACTAATGCATCTTACAGTTTCTTTGGTATGCCAGATTATTTTGTTAAAAGCAGAGTGTAAAGGCATGAAAATCTGATATGTTTGCTTTTAGCTCTACAAACTGAATATCCACAATGTTGTTGCTGAATTTGTGCCCTTGATCATGAATACCATTGCAATTCAGGTATCTGCACAAGCCAGGTGAGATTTCTTCGGACAGTCACTTAGCTGGCTGTTGTAGTTCTTTATTAATTTTTTAGGGTGGGGGAGGTATTTGGTTTATTTATTTAGTTTCAGAGGAGGTACTGGGGATAGAACACATAACCTTGTGTGTGCTAAGCATGTGCTCTACCACTTGAGCTGCACCCTCCCCGACACCGTAGTTCTTTAATTCAAGAAAAAAAAAAGCCTGCTGTTGTCATTTGTAAGACAGGACAATTTTGAGAGATTAAAATTTTGGTAAACTTACATGTATTTTTGGCTTTCTGAACTTATACTTCAATAATGATAGTAATGGTTATTTTGGGGGAAAAAAGTTTTTTTGATTCCTTATTTTGCAAAGATGACGTGTCTTTGGTGTCTTGTAAACTTAGAACTATCATTAGGCATTCCTATCCTCAGTACAGTAGTTAAAGCTTTGGGGTAGTCCAGGCTTTCTCACCATCAAGTTCTTGCTGTTCCTTTCAGCATGAGTGCTGGAAAGTTCTTTACCCTCTTCATCCTCACTCATCATCCTTAATCACTAATGAGGCCAAACGTGTTTATCCTTGGAGGTCTCTCAGTGAAGCTTTTTCTCACATTTCACAGCATTCCTAGTAAGACCTTTATCACTTAACCTCTTGACTTGCAGCCTGTCTGGCTCGGAGTCAGTCGGGGGGCAGGATCTGAGGGTGATCAGCTCTCACAGCCCTGTGGCCCCAGCCCGGGTCTCTCACTGAGCAGATAGGTGCCCTCAGCCGTTTTCTAGGGGAGCGGGTCAGTCTCTTGTTAGCTGGAAGGATTCAGGCTGTGGCTGCTGCCCAGTGGCTGGAGAACTGCCTGCTTTGTGCCTTCGAGGCCTTTGTGTTACTTGGAACTGCATAAAGGTATAGGCATGTTCACTGTTGTGCTGTGTAGAAATCACACTTTTTGGATTATTACAGGCTTTTAATTAATATTAACATCACCTTAAAGAGTTGAGAGCTAATATTGTAAATTTTGGTCATTTCTCATCCAGGCAACATAAGCTTTACAACAAGGAGTTGTATGCTGATTTCATTGCTGCTCAGATTAAAACATTGTCATTTTTAGCTTACATCATCCGAATTTACCAGGTAAGTTCATCAGCTTTTGTTTTAAGTCAGGGTTATTGAGATATATAATTTACATGCAGTAAAAATCACCTTTTGTAGATGTACAGTTCTGTGAATTGACAAATGCATACAATTGGTAACCACCAGTACATCAGAATATAGAACATTTCCCTCATCCAGAAAATTCCTTTTATACATTTGTAGTCAATTTCCTTCTCCTAACTCCAGTTCCTGGCAAATACTGGTTTGTTTTCTGTCCCCATATTTTTGGCATTTTCAGAATGTCATCTAAATTAATCACTTGTTGGACAGTGTATGTACCCTTTTGAGTCTGGCTTCTTTCGCTTGACAGTAATGCTGAGGTTCATCCTTGTTACTTTATTGCTGATTTGTTACTTTTCCTTGGTGGTTAGTTGTCATAGTTTGTTCAGGCTGCCTTAACAAAATGCTGTATGTAGGTTAGGTGGCGTAGACAGCAAACTGTTCCGGAGCCTGGAAAGTCCAAGATCAAGGTTTCATTGGGGTTTGGTTTCTGGTGGGGCCTTTCTTCCTGGGTCACAGGGGCCACCTTCTCCCTCCCCTGTGCCCTCCCGTGGTGGGGAGGTGGTGAGGAGGTCTCTGTTTCTCTTTAATAAGGCTGCAGTCCTCTACTGGGTTAGGGTTCCACCCATATGACCTCATTCAGCCTGAGTTACCTCCAGACACAGTCATAATGGGGTTAGGGCCTCAACAGATGAATTTGGGTGGCGATGGGTGGACACAGGCCAGGCCGCAGCTGTAATACTCCGTTGTATGGATGGATGTACCACGGTGTGTTTTTCCATTCACCAGCTGATGAACATTTGAGTCATTTGCAATTTTTTTAGAGCTATTTTATCAGGGTATAATTCATGTACCATAAAATTCACCCTTTTAAAGTGTACAGGTCTGTGGGTTTTAGTTCATTCACAGATTTGTACACACCTCATCACTGTTTGGTTTTAGAGTAATTTCACCCCTAAAGGACACCAGCACTGATGAGCAGTCACTCCATTCTCCCCCATCCCCAGCCCCGGGCAGCCACTGATGTGCTTTCTGTGTTTGTAACTTCGTGTGCTTCATTTTTGGCTAAATAAAGCCACCATAAATATTTGTACACAGATTTTTGTGTGGATTATTTGGTTCACTGACTTTCGCTGTTGTTGAACGTTGTGTGTGGTAGTAAATTATGTGGGGGAGATTAGAACTTAAAAAATGCTTATCTAAAATGATTATCTAATAAAACTGTGATAAAGAAATTTTAGAAGCTTTTTTGAGGAGCCTCTAGAGTAGTTTTTTTGTTGCTTTTTGTTCTTTTTCCCATTTGGAGCTGTGGTCTCCATACTTAAATCATAAGAACTTGAAGGAAAAAAGTGATGCCTTATCTTTCATTAGTCATACAGTTTTTTTAATAAAACTCTCATGGAGGTAATTATTCTTTTTTTTTAAAGTGAAAACGTTGCATAAAATATTTAATTGAAAAACAATGAGGAAAGCATTACCATTAGAGGAGTAAAAAAATTCAAAAGAATATGAAAGCTAACATATGCATGTATATGCATGACTGGGACATTGTGCTGTACACCAGAGAGTGACACATTGTAACTGATGGTACTTCAATTAAAAAAAATTCAAGACCTGGTAATTAACGTAATTTTAGTATTGCCACCAGAACCTAATTTCCACTGATCACAATGAACAAGTTTTATAACTTTTCTTCACTTTAGTGCTACTCAGAATCTTCATCTTTTAGCAAAAATCGATCAACCACAAGGGAATGGTTAGATAAATTATGGTAGGTTCACATCTGAAATAAGGTGAAGTTATTAACAATTAAGATGTGGATTTTTTTTTCCGGTGGTAACTATTCTAACGTATGGAATAAATTTAGTCCTGAACTATTCTGTAACAGTGCAGTTGTAATTGTTTTTATTCTAAACTACCTTTACAAAGCATTTGTAGCCTTCCTTCCCCCAGCTCATTTTTCAATGTGTTTATGTACATAACTAAGAAAACATACTAAGAAAAGGAAACATTTGGCATAAAAAAAATCTGCATTATACACCCCTTGCTGTTTTAGTCAGCTTGAGTTACTGTGAATAACCTCCTAAAACACCTCAGAAGGCGATCGTGACTTCACTTATTCTGAGTTGATTAAAGGTGTCTTTGGCGTCATCATTAACAACTGACATTGATGGATGACCAAGGAAAGAGTTTTGGTTTTTGAACTTGAGTGTTTATTTCTTCCTCCTCCCCCCTTAATGGTGAAGTAATGTAGATTCATTGTTGAAAGTTGGGAAAATGCAGAACAGCGACGAAGCCATCCGTATTCCCACGCCCTGTGTGAAGCCCACTGCCCCTCCTGCTGCCGCGCCCCCGCCCCGCCCGGCGGCGCGCATGCGCGCGGGAACCGCTGAGCCTCTAGGTGATCCTGTGTATTAGGTCACTGACTTTATCAGGGTCCTTTTAGCTAAGCTTCGTCTTCCGGAATTTTTTTAAAGTTTAGGAAGCTTTAGTTTTTCTCAGCAGCTGCCTGTCAGTGTAACTGTTATTTTCCTCTCGTTGTACAGGATTTGGTGACTAAATACTCCCAGCAAATGGTGAAGGGAATGTTGCAGTTACTCTCAAACTGCCCCGCAGAAACCGCGCACCTCAGGAAGGAGCTTCTGATTGCGGCGAAGCACATCCTCACCACCGAGCTGAGG